TGTGGCTTGCTGGCTCGAAGCAACAAAAGAGCAAACAAACATGTCTCACCCTTGTTAAGCGATTAACAGCAGTGAGGATAACACTAATATCTAGAAAAAGCTTAACCCGTGACCTGACTGTTGGTAGCTGAAAACCTTTCCACAGTCACAGTTGGCTGCAATCTTCTTATAATCGGGTAGCAGGCCAACTGCTTAACTGGTGGTGATATATCCTGTATTACTCACGGTACTGATAATTCTCTTAAAGCCGAATGTTACAGTGTTCAGATGTTTGACCACAAGATCCCGTCTGAGCTTCTTTCTGGAGGTATGAGAGGGTCGGGGTGCAGATGATTCCTAACAAGAATTAACCAGCTACACAGTACCTCCAGCATAGGGGCGAGATGGCCCAAGTGGTTAGAGCGCGAATTTACTGACCGGAAGGTCCGTGGTTCGAACCCGACCTCTGCCACTCGACTTCCCCTGTCTAGGCTTGGGCGACCTGGCAGTATCCCAGCCCTCGTGCCTCCTTCGTGTGGCATGGCAGCTAGGCACCGAAAGGGTGCTGCAGCTGAACGACTCCAGCATAGCCTGGCTTCAAACAGGAAGCGAAATATTAGTCGGCATTCCAGGATCTCCGCAGCACACATATGCTACAACGAACAATGCCTACTGGTAACTTTTTGAAGAAATACATGAGTTGAGTGTTTTGTTATTATACGAGATCTACGCTCTGCAGCATTTTTCAACTTCTGGTCTCTCTACCGGTGAAGATTTCTAGCTTGCTTTTCCTGACAGTCGCCATTACGAATATCGATATCAAAAACCAGCGTTGAATATCGGTGGACTTCATCACCACGAAACTATCAGATAGAGAACGGACCACTCTTGCGGTTGTCCAGAGTTTCAAAACATAAATTTATAAGAAGTATAGGGTAAGTGACAATGCGAACTTTCAGTAATTACTACCGGGAAAGCACGCATTCCAGCGACATTTCTATTGTTTATTTTCACGCGTTTGCTGCCAATTCTGGGGATACTGAGGGACTTTGAATGGTATATCAGCCATGCCAAGATGTAAACCTAGTCCGCGGAGTCTCGGATGAAAAACGGTGGAATTGAAGGCTTGCCCTGAGTACAGTAAATTACACCATTTACGTTCATCCTGAAGTTGTTAGCCTTTATGTTGACTACATCCGTACGTGGTTAATCCAATAAAGGTGACTTTTAAAGCTGTGTGGTGAATCGCTTCGTTTGTGACTCACCGTGTTGGATACCACCTTCTAGTCTTACAGACCATGAATTTTGTTCACCAGCCAATGTTCCATAGGAAGTAGCAAATAACAGTGGTAGTAGCAAATAGTAGTCGTAAAAACATGAGGTTATTTGATCAGCCAATCAAGTGGAAAGCAATCAGACCACGAACCAAGAAGGAAACGGCCCAATCACACCGGGTAACACAGAATTGTTGAATCGAAGATGCCCAATGAATCAGTCATATACGGGAAAATGAAATCACAATGCAATTCAGAACCAAAGCTGACAAACCTAATTACGTCAGAACCGCCTCCGGACTCACCTATCACTTTAGAGTTATTGTGTGCTGTTTAGAAACTTCATAAGCACATAGAGGAGGTGTTTATCCACTCAACTCCGCACTACGTCACTCATATTGGTGAGTGAAAGTTTGCAATCCAACTGTCAAGCACGGCAAACAGACCAGCAATGAAGTAAATTTTTGTACGGATAAAAGGGGGTGAGAAATTCGCGCGCTATTTTAGGTATTTTTCAGTGAAGTTAGGCTTGGGGACTAACTTGCCAATCGGTAACGTAAAATGTTCTGTTTACTGCGATAGCTCTCATGGTTACTACGGCCTTTTCACAATCATATTTGAAAAACTGAGTTCAACTGAAAACGATTTATGTTCTCTATGCGTAGTTCCTAAATCTGCATCGATAAAACGTTTTCCAGCATAGGCACATTCGTGTGCTGCAGGACTAATATCTCCTTATCCGACTGGTATAATTAACTGTCACGCACTTGTCTTGTGGGACTTTGGTGAAAACGGCTTAAGATCAACGTTCGGTTTGAAGGTCACGTGAAAGCTGGCATTGACACTAACCGAATGATGCGTGTGATTAGGTTAGTAGAAGTCCTTTGATCCGGGTCTGACAGATCACGCAGTTGTCCCAGGCCCGACTGTAGCATGCATTGACTGCGTGTTGTCTGGGTAACCAAAAGCTAATTTTACTGAGTGTGTTGCAACATGACCAATAGAATGAAAGACTATTGATAGCGAATTCCAAGTGGAAACTGCTTTGTTGGTACTCTAGACAGGGCTATAACAAATGACAGACGAGATACTTAGATCAAAGTAATTATTTACAATTTGTTTGATAAAAGGAATAGAAGGAATATACTTCATTAGCCTGAAGTATTCTACACTGCGTCGAGGGGCAGCAATTAGGGAGAAAGCAACGTACTACTGATATATTTACTAGTTACCAAAATGGCATTGTGAGAAACGAAGGTAATCATATTGGAAACTGTTAAATGAAAGAAACGCAGACGGGAAACTTATGATTTGTGCCGTTATCTAACAGGGGGAGATAGAGGCATGTTTCGAGCCTACTAAACCGCCGCACAATAATGAATGATTCAGCTTCTTCAAAAGATTTAAGACCTAGGAATCAGAGACTGAACGGTACATGCGCTTTTCGGTGTTTCTACCTATGTTCGTACAAGCCGAAGGATGGGATATCCAGTAAATTTTGGGATTCAAACACACAGTCTTTGCTTGTGATAATATAATTCTGAAGTTCGAAAACGTCGCCATTATTCACAATGAAGTCTTCTGTGGAGTCAAGATCTCAACTTCAGGCAAGCTTCAAAAACCTGTTTGCGGTTCAGTACTCTCTGACCCAGATTGACACGCATTAATCTCTACCAAGCTACAAAGCTGATATCTTTGAATTGAATTTACAGTTCCATCAGATCAAAGAGCACGCGACCGGAAGACACATTCGATTCAGTGAAATACGCCGAAACCTTGTGCAATCGCAGACGAAAAGCACGAAAATGGACAGAACGCAGGCGATTTCACATTCTTCATTGCCGTACAATGCATTTGGTGCCAATGTAAACATTTAAAATTAATGAAAGTCTGTAACATTTTGGACCGCTGGCTTAAAACAGGAGTGTCTAGATGAACCTTTTGGATGTGACTTTGTTTCTAAATTATCCTCTACCCTTTGTTCGGTGATGTGCGAACTACCATTCAAACCACTGACCCTGGTGGATGATCATCGGTCCTCAAAGAAGAGGTGATGATTGCCAAGCTCTAAGATTTGAATCAGACGGTATGCTAAGGTGAATGTCTTGTGGCTTAGGTTGTATTCCGTCTGTGTGAGAATTCATCAAGAGGATGCATGAGGAATCGATCGGTAGCAAATTCGTCAGCACAGGTCCTAGTGGACAGCGCTGTCGTATTTCTACCCTTGTCCATCAGATGAGTTCCAATCACAATAAAACTCCGCGTCTGGCTACGTCTGGCTATGCAGTCATGTTTCTAAGGGTTTTCAACAGAAAAACTAAATTTCTGATCATTACCGACATAAAAATTAATTCGCCAAAATCTAGATGGTCGGCTATTTCACAGACAGTTTGGCTGCTATACACAGAATATGTTTTTGAGCTTTCAAATAGGAAAACTTTAGGGCATGAAAGGAACCAGAGCATTAAGTGAGAGTTTTAGGTTCAGCTATGTAAAACCATCTTTTGAGCAAAAGTGTTCTTACTCAGAAGCCGTCAAACCATAAGTTTTTCTTTGCAGACCTATGGCAACTGCCTGGAAGGAGAGATATTTATGGTGCATTTTGCAACCCACCTTATCTTAGATTGATTCCTATCTATGGTCCATATACGCGCTCTTCGAAGTTTCTGTATTACTGGATCCATCAGTAGCTCTTGTCGTGACTCCTCCTATACACCAGCTGACTGACAATGGTCTCAGTCCTCACAATGTCTGCTTTGAGTACTCTGCTTAATGAAACGAGTTCCTTTGCTTTTTGGGTGTTCGTGGACTCATTGTCGGGCATAAATATGGCCAGACTACGGCTTTTGCTGATGAAACTTACCTGAGGTGCATGACTACAAAATGTGGCACACCAGTTACAACCACCTGATAAACCTAAATTCGGGTTTCCGAGAAATCGTTTTGGCGTTTAAATCGACGGACCAGTCCTACAATTAAGCGATTATGTGAAAATGCGCGAGGACCGTCAAGCAACCGAGTGCCCCGAGGACCTAAAGGCAAGCAGCATAAATCGTACACTCAGCAGTGACCGTGACTGTGAGATATCGGTTCAACTTGGACTACTTATGTATAGATCAGTTTATTTCAAGTCAGTTCAGCTCAAGAAAAATGCACCGTGAGTAAATTGCTTCACTGAATCCACTCTGTCAGCAGGCATTTTTCGGATGTTCCAAAAACCGATGGTGGAAAGCACAACATTAGTTAAGCCACAAACAAACTGGCTAGATTTGAAACTACGTTACTGAACGATAATCATTCAATAGATTTCCGCATGGCAGCTGAATATAAATCTCGCTCACTTGTAGACGGTGCTCCCATAAGGAAGCATTCATATTTGTGACTGACAAACTTGCTCAGATTTTGGCCGGCGTCATGTGGTACGGTCTTGACAAAATTCACTTTCCATATTTTACTCCAAGCACTTCGCAAGCTCAATTTGGCGGGTGTTTGTCCTTCACAGTGAGTTTTTGTTCAGAATCGATCGTCCTACTGCGCTAGCTGAATCACATGGCCTAAGAGACTCCACGTTTTTCGTAGAAAATTTTTTTGAGCATGGATCGGAGCAACTGTAACCTAGACGGCGGCTTCGCAACTAACCCCTCAAGGATTTCAGAAACCACGATCATTTGAAGGTTTGGTTGTAAAGGCTAAGACCTACCTGGTAACCCTTTGTTTACAGAGGAAAGCCCGGTTCACGTGACTTACCTGTCAAAAGTTCGGCTAAGATACATCCGAAACTCCATATATCGATAGCTGTTCCGTATTTAAATCCAAGTATGACTTCCGGAGCTCGATAGAATCGCGACTGTATATAGGTATATATCCGCTGACTTTCGAAACAGCTGGAACCGAAATCGATCACTTTGATACCACTTCGACCTTGTTGTTTCAAAAGAATGTTCTCCGGTTTCAGATCACAATGGATAATTTTATTCCGGTGAAGCATGTCGAGACACACGAGAATGGAGTGCGCAAACTTCCGTACGAGCTGGAGAGGAAAACCTTGAAATTTACTTCGTTTAATCAGTTCATACAAGTTCATGCTTAGAAGTTCAAATGTCATGCACACGTGATTGCGGAACGTGAAATTTTCCAGCATGTGAACCACGTTGCGAGTGTTATCCTTGTCTTGCTGTTTCAGCAATTCCAGAATGCGTATTTCCTCGGCGGCCTGATGAGTGAAGCGCTTCTCATTTCGAACCATTTTTAATGCTACATAAGTGCCAGTTTTGTGATCGTATGCTTTAACCACTTGTCCGAAACTACCCTTGCCCAAAATTTTCAACACCTCATAGCGGTAAGCCACGTGATCATGAGCAGTATTTAGATAGGATCCCTGTTCATCATCGTATCCACTATTATTCGGAGCCCCAACCACACCGGCGCGTTTTTTCGCATTATGCCCGACGAAATAAATGTGAGGATAGCTAAATATTTCGTGGTGTTCAAAGACACTGAGCTTGTGAACATATAACTTCATGGCCATTTCTGGTGTGAGACCGGCTCCGTTAAGGTGGGCAGAAAACGTGTTGGGAACAGACACACAGCTGCCCCCAGTCAAATGCGAAGCTGTGTTGTTTATATCTCCAGGACCAAGGGAGATTGGTTGTACACCGCTGTTCGATATGCTGGTATGAGTGCCACCTATGACACCACCACCGCCGCCTCCACCTGCTGCAGCTCGGTTGCGAATCTTCAACGAGCTACTGTGATTATCCATTTTGTTGCATTGATGACCAGGTGACCCGATCCCGGGTTTTATACCAGATGCACCTGAGCGGGCTCCTGAACCGGTGGTGGAAGGATTTGTTGGCCCGAGCGACACACTGGGTAAATGAAGCTGCGCAGTAGAATTACTGGTGGCTATGGATGCGTTATCTCCGTAGTGGCGATGCTGTCGATCCTCGTACAGCTGAGTGATGTTCAAGGTTGGTTTCAGATTATTGTTACTGGCTCCCACGCAGAAAGAGGTAGTGCCTGTTGAATTTACACTCGAACCGTTGTTGTGACCATTGGTTGTGACGTTGGCGTTTGCATTGGCGACTGCTGTGTTTGTAGTGCTTCCGTTTAGTCCGGTCAAAGGAGGCAGATGAGATGAGTGTGTAGGCGCTTTATCCAAGGTATACATAGCCGGATAACTTCTAGACAACACGGATAGAAGGAATTACGGAAGTGTAGTTTTGTGTGTCCTTGTATACGCCTGTCGATCAATAATGCTTTAATCAGTCGTGTGAGAATGGAACATCATCTGGAAATAAAGAAAAGAGTATCGTAAATACTTCATGGTTGTAATGCTTTTGGTTATGATTATTTGGCCCAATATTTTGCGCACACGCATACACAGGTACAATGCGAATGTTGAAAAAAAATTGCTCTTTCTTATAAATGCATATTTGGACTGGTCGTGAAACAATCACCACACTGTCAGCACGGTGTGTTTGCACGCACGAAGCAAATATGCATAACTGGGCCAAAAATCATTCCGTGATTTTAACACATCTCCATCAACTGACGTCACATGCCTACTAAAACCATACTCGCTCAACACTGGTCACATTTACCGCATCAGTGATGCACACGTATGCTGGCATATTTTGTGGTAAATCCATTATCGCAGTCCATGAATGCTTCACTAGTATGTTAGACAAACTGTTGCGCATATAGTTGTACCTCTTCCGGACGATCATTCCTCGGTTCATTGAGCTGACCAAAGTCTGACTACTTCGTTCCCCCCTGAACTGGACAACTGAGCTCACTGAGTAAAATTCATAGAGAGTAGGTGAAGGCTGAAATGGACTTACGAAGTTTAGTCATGTGACGTCATTACAGTTGTTTTGACAGAAAGTATTCTACATGAGTACTGATCATGATGCACTAAGTAGTTCCTAGTCTCCTTCAAGCCTGTTCCATTTGAGTAAAAAACTGCACGCAACTGGTGAAATGCACTCGTTTGCAAGTCAAGTTGTTGAAAACAGAAGATTCAACTGAATATTTTGTTTACGATGGTCCTTAGGTTATTTTGCTGTACAGAGTGCTCTTCCTGTTTCACTTGGTGTGCCGTTCAAGATGTCCAGGTAGAGCTTCGACGTACACTGTTTACAATGTTGCTGAAAACTCTTCCACAACCAACTAGGGATTTCGGCCCTCTGGGAATTCATCAAACAAATGGGCTTCCCGAGTTTCCGGCGACGCTAGGTTAGAATTAAACACCAAATAGCAAGCTAGTGGCGAAATCCACCAAAGTGTGTTGCATATGGCCACTTACTTACAATTCGATGTTCAAGTGAATAGAAACTAAAGAATTAGGCTGACCTGATAGGTCTCAAGAAGAACGAAACCGGTGGAGGGCTGCTGAAGAGTCTTTCGTGAACTTAAGAGAATTATCCTACGTCGAGGAAATATGGTTTGCTTCGTTGAATATCGTTGAACTAAAACATGAGGTGCCCTTTGCGCATCACATCCAGCTGAAAAATACGATACAGAACTAATTTTCAAACGAGTGTATCTAGCCAACAACTAAAATTTATGATAGTTATTCTGTGATTCAACCCACGGGTGTAACCATCTTACTCTGAGAAGTTAAATTATGCTTTGGTTTTTTCCATCACTAGTCAGTTAGAACTAAAACTGATATCTTTATGACAGTCAGAATGATCCGTCATGGTAACAACACCAGACGCGCCTTCAGGCGGACTAATTAGAATCGAGTAAAAAAACAGCCATTTTTGTGAACATTGGTCCAGTGAGCGCAACACGTGACCACAGTGTATTTTGGCGGACGCGAAATGATGTCATTTAACAACGATGCTCTTCAGGTGTACAGCTAAAATACGATCGTTAAGATTAACTCCCAACTGTTGCGAAAAACGTTTTCTCTAGTTCCATTCTGGTATATTCCCCCTCGTTGAATCATCAAGGTCACCATTCCTGAACATTGTTCACCAGCGCAATAAAAGGTCCTTCTTCCATCCTTTAGTGGTGATGCCCGACGGCTGTAGCAGAATACTAGGTCTGCTCTCTCACACATATCCATTATGGAACTAAACCGATGGGCTGGCTAATTTGGCCCAATTCTAACCAGTCTACTGTTTTCTAAAACGGAGCGAAATCTGTACTGTTCTCCCGGAAAATCTGTCTGGATGCATTCTTAAATGAACAACAGTTTTTTTTGTGTCATAGCAAGCTGAGTAACAAGGAAAACAAAACCTCAGTTCTGGAAAATCGGGCAGGTACTCCTGATATACCGGCATTGGGACCATATTTCGAATTGTTTTTCACACGAACATAAATTCATTAAAAGCCAGCAAGACTTTGGTCAACTGTGTATGCGAATTGTTGTACATCACTCTGTGGGCTGCTATGTTTCATCCGATTAATCAATCAGAAGCGGAAACGCCACTCGAAATTGTCTAATTGTCTGAATAGTTGTCACGTGCTCTTGAGTTTTCAGTCACTAGGTTTTTCTCTCTGAAATATTTAAATTTGTTAGGCGAGCGAAAACAGCGCACGTTTCCTAAAAACGGCACTCCATTTGGTGGCGAATGTCACTTCAGATCATTGGAATCCATTAAAGGCTACTTCCGAGGGCGGATGTTGGCGTGGATGAGTACAGTCTGGCACGTATTTTTATTGGTACTTACACTACTACCCCGAAAGGGACGAGTGATGCTCCGAACCAGACAGTTTAAGTGAATGGAAGTTCTGCTCATAAATATGGAGAGGATAAGAACGATGCCTTGTTTGTTTGTTTCGAATAAAGATATTTACTAGTCTAATTTTTTACTCTGGGTTGACGACTTTGTTTTTCAAGCGTAAATTTTGCGAGTTGTATTTACAAAAAATAGATTCCTGGGGAAGAACACAAGGGCTCAAGGTAACGCTTTACTCGTCGAGCTAACGGAACATAGCCAGTTACCGTGTCGTATTTAAATGAATTAGGGTTCAGCGGGTACACTTTTCTCATATCCGGCAATATGTACAGTCAACTTACGGCGCTCTGAGAAAACGGTGCAAGGTTCACCGTGGGCTCCAAGCAATGAGCACGGGTGCTTCAACTAAAGACTTTCGCTCTGTCCTCAACACCCATATTTTTTTATATTTCACATCAACAGGAAGTAAGTAGAGTGAAACGAAATCACCACCTTGGCAACGGCTGAAAATATCACAGGGATTTCGAAAATCTGGCTAGTTTTGCTTCCGAAATGTGAGAAAGTGTTTTGAGTGCTACGACAAGATAAACGTTATTTCACGCTTCAGCTCTAAAACTGTCACTCATATCACTCGTTTAAAGAAACGTATAGTCCTAGAATTAGATAGATCCATCCACTAACACCCTAAACGAAGACCAAGTCTGAATGCCTGTCAGTGTGATTTCAACTGGAAACTTGCCGTGTTTGTGTAAGTGTGTAGCCAACTCGCATACTATAAAAATCGCAAGCTTCCAACCACCTGTACAAATCCAACGGTCTTAAAGTCGGCAATTCCGTTGTGGAAATGATGATACACTGCCGTACACCCAACTTTTCAAGAGAAACCAAGGTATAAAAGGAGGCAAGTGGACATCAATGGCTAGAAACATTATCACATATGGCCCAGTCGCATCCATCAGTGGCGTTCATGTTTCCAAGCTATTGCCTTTAGTGCATAAATCCCTTCCCAATTCCCCAACTTAACAGTCCACTGAGGGCGCCGTATTTACGCACCAATTTATCAGCTCCTGCCTCCAACGTGCAGTCACCTACCACACCTCCCGAAATCATCAGTGAACGAAACTGTGACAGTTATGACCACTGTATGGCAAGTACGCAGTTTTTGCAGCCAATGGTGATTACAGCGCTCACTCGGAAATCCGAAGCACAAACTGACCGTACATACGCTATTAATACCACTTAGTTTTCGTTTCCTGCAACTTTTCTAACCCAGTTATAGAACCGTCATGAGGACTTGGTCCTTGAAGATGGACCCAAACCGTTTAGAATCGTCTTCGAAATCGTCAGCAAAGTCACACAGTCACCTTGTATTCCTCGCTATTGTAAACAAAATGGTGCAACGTTTCCAAGCATAGGTTCAGCTCACCTTGATGCACACAGTTTGCAGTTTGTCTATCCAGGCACCGGTGGGCAAACTCTCACTTTACACGCATCGAATCCGAGAAAGGCAACAAAATTATATAACAGCCTTATTTTCGGCAGTAATAGGAAAGGATACAAACTCTCACTTTACACGCATCGAATCCGAAGAAGCAAGGCAACAAAATTATATAACAGCCCTATTTTCGGCAGTAATATGAAAGGATATCACCCGTTTAGAGCTTAATTCCATTCACCTGGATATGAACTTGTGATAGAAACGTTTTGAAGGTTACTCATGCAGTTCCCTGCAAGGATATAAGCGCCTCTACCGTAATAATAACTCATAGACATATCGGAATATATGCTGGTATATATGCTGGTATATATGCTAGCATAATGCTAGCATAATTTCCTTATTATCCTATTAACCGTGACCGTTCGTAACACAGGCTGGAATATTTGCACATGATCCGTCAGTAAACCCATCCTAGTGATCTGGAACGGCAACGAGAGAAAGGCCATTGTAAATACGCTGCATAGGATTACAAAGTTATGAAGAAGTTTAGTTCATATTCATGGTGCGCTTGATGGGATAATAGTTCCGGTTAGGGGCACCTTACCCGAACGAAAAGTTTGACACTGTTCTTAGCCCGGTAGTGACGCACTTGCGGTCATAACGCTGTCCATATTTGGTGATCTAGGATGTATCTTATTTGCATATTCGTTGGGAAATCCAAGTGAGCAACACCAAGTTGTTTTAGTGAAATTGCATGTCGACCTAAGTCTGTCTGATACTACTTATTCAATAATTGGTCGAGATGGCTCAAGTGGTTAGAGCGTGAATTTACTGACCGTAAGGTCCGTGGTTCGAACCCGACCTCTGCCACTCGACTTCCCCTGTCTAGACTTGGGCGACCTGGCAGTATCCCAGCCCTCGTGCCTTCTTCGTGTGGCACGGCAGCCAGGCACCGAAAGGGTGCTACAGCTGAACGATTATTATTATTTACTATTATTAATTGGTTAATTGTTAACTATAAATATATATATATAGTGTTTAAGAGCCTCAGAAGCTGGTCTGATGGCAAACCAATGGACAGGTTCGGCAAGCAAAGCAGCAACGTTGTGACCAGCGACAACAGTTTTTCTTTACTGTTTACTTCTGCCCAGTATTTATAGA